CGCGCGCTCCAGTCTCCCAGGGAGACAGGGAGCAAAGCCTCGGAGCACGCCGGCAGCGGGACAGCTGCGGTTCCCCCCCCAGCAGACCAGGGAGACACGGAGCAGCTTTTCTCGCCCCGGAGGACGCGGGTGGCGGGACTGCGGCGCGTCTGGGCGGTCCCGCCGCCCACATCCTCCGGGGCGAGAAAAGCCCCGTTTGTAAGTACGGATCCGACATAAGTAGGATCCGCGTAACCCGGGGACTGCCTGTATATACCTGTAACTGAATCTTTGCAAATGTGTGAAATGAGATGTAATTATTTATATAATGAATTACTCAGTTCATATTTTTGTTAAAATGGTAGATTTTAAGGAGGTTTATGTTTAATAAGTACTGTATCAGAGTCTGTTACGATTTATTTCTGTAATGTTTTCTGTGTAGTTTCTATGTACCCCCTGCATGTAACCGCTGAAATTTTCAGTGCTTATACGGTTACTTAAACACAATTTAACATCTCTAGTAGATGGGGAGGTACTAATGAGGTGGCAGGAGTTCCCTATATGCCTGAATCAGCAGAGTATACAGTCTACATGGCTCTCTACATGCCCAAACAGCACCTCACACTTCTAGTATGCAATTTTATAACAGTGTAGTATCCTGCTGCCAGAGCCTTTCTCGATGTCTGTACCCTGCCAGAGCCTTTCAGTGCCATGTTTATCTAAACATTTGAGTGACAAATGCGTACACAGCCTGCTTTAACTGTGGTGTGCAGTTACTGCCTACATGTATAGGACCTGCTCTCTTTTTGCTGCTTTAAGTGTAGACAAGCAAAGGATACAACCGAAAACGCATTTATCTAGGGCAGAGCTTGTTTAGAATGGCATGTTGGGGGTGGAATGAGGGACATTGTGACAAAATGGGCAACCTGGATGTTGGATAACTCAGGTTCATACTCTGTTTTCTGAGAGTGCACTTTAAATTTCAGATTCTAATTATATTTTTTAAGCATTTATTTTTGGCTTTGCTGAGATTTTGAGCATCACAGATACTGGAAGACTTATGATTTGAATGATGCATGGACACAGTTTTTGTACGATGTATTTGAGTAAAGGTGGTACCAAGTCTCACATTAATTGCCTCTTGAGAATACTGTTAAATTACATGGAACTACTTAAACTCACCATTAGTTATTTACAATAACAGCAGTGTTGAGAGGAATGTCATATTAGCCTAATCATAGATACACATTCTCACTGCTTAAAAAAGTTTCTTTTTTGACATATTTAGGAGGTGCTTGCTTGGGTTGTGGGACAGGGATAGTTATATTCCGAAGAGGAAGAGATGTGTGTTGCACAATCATAGAATATGACATTATTGACTCTGGTAATTGTAATAGAACAGTGGTTCTATTAGGTTCCAGATGGAACTTTAATCTGGCTTCTGATTGAGCCTAGTGTCCTTGTAGAGTCTCTTAGCATCTGCTTTGGAAATGTATATGACATTATTCAAAATTTGTACCAAATTAAACCACCTTCAGGCTATAATTCAATTTTTCTTTGAGGAAATGTATTGTCAATTTTAAGCCACAAAGTAAAATCTACACTGAATTTATCTTTTATTTTGGCTATTTACTGGTCATTTAGATTATTGTGATTGAATTGCTAATGATTTCAAATTTACATTAGGAATAGAAGGTTTATAGTAGTAAATATGGTCAGATAAATTTAAGTTTTTTCATAGCAAAAATAATTGACATGATATAACAAATTATTTCTGTTTGGTTTACATTTTTATTTATAAAAACCTCATGAGATTTTATGTTTCTAGATATTTCCTGTGAGTCATATTTGAGATCTGTTCTTGACATTTGCATTTCATCAGCAGTCTTGGAAAAGTATTGGAAGCATTTAGTCCCATTCATTAACTTGTGTCATATGAGTTGGTTCCTTTTACGTCTTAACTGCTAGCAATTGTGATTTTTGTAAATCCTTTTCTTCCAGAAGTTTGTCACGTTTAATTTTACTTTAAAGCTATATTTTGGGAACATTTCCTGTTGACTCTCCCTCCACAAATGCACACTATAGCTGATTTTGATAGGGGTTCCTTTAATACATATGACCGGATACTTTTTGCTAGATTTAAAAAAATTGACAAGACACAGTGCAAATCATTTCTGTTGATATCCCATGACAGTGGTCCCCAACCTTTTGGGACTGCCGGGGGTGGGGCCACTCACGGGCCGCACATCCAGGGGTGGGGCCGCACACGCGGGGGCGGGGCTGCTTACGTGCCATGTGCAGGGCCGGATTACAGGGGGGCTAGCCATCAGGTGCCCCAGGCAGCTGCCCAGCAGTTGTAAGGGGCTCCACGCACCTGGCTGCGAGGCGCCCTTTAGAGCTGCCATCAGGTGCTGCGCACCCAGGACCGGAGCCTGCGTGGCGCCCCTTAGAGCTGCCATCAGGTGCCATGTGCCCGGGGCTGCGTGGCGCCCCATAGAGCTGCCATCAGGTGCTGCGTGCCCGATTGCAGCTGTAAGGTGCGCAGCGTGCTGGGAGGCGGGACCACGCATGCGTCGCACGCCCAATGCCCGGGGCGCAGGAATGGCTCGAGCTGGCCTTGGGCGCGCTTCCGGGGCTCAGGGCACAAGAATGGCACAGAAATGCCCCGGCAGGTGCTATGGCACCTGCAGGCATCGCGTTTGGGACCACTGCCCCATGATATTGCTTAGCAAACTTCAGTAGTTTGGCTTGAAAAGCCTGAAATCTTCTTACTTGCAAGATCAAATTCTGAGACTTCAGTGTCTCCTATTGAATTTCCAGTCTTAGGAACATTTGTTCAAAACCTACCAGTACAAATGGTACCAACCTTGGTTGAGTGCTGAGCACTTTTGAAAGGGATGTGAATGGTTAACCAGTAAGCATCATACAGGCCAGATTATGCTTATCGGTTATGGTTAACCCATGGGTTGGAGCAGCTCAGTAGTGCCTGCCACTGGTGTGTGTGGGTGTGGGGGGGGCGGGTTCCAGCTCAGCCAGAGCAGCACCAATCCACAGCCTGATCTAGCTGGAGCAGTATGCCATGGGCAGGAGCTCTCTAGTCTGGTCAGAGCAGCCTCTGCCCTCAGCAGGGAGGCCACTCCAGGCCAGCTGACCCTCTTTAAGTGGTTATCTGGGTTAAACATAATGTTTAACCGGTTAACTGATTAAATGGGATTTTACATCCCTAACCTAAACCGGAACTGTTCTTTTTTAGAAACCTGGTCTATAGTAAGGATGTTAAATATTGATTAATTTACTAGTCGAGTAGTTGATGGAATTTCCATCGACTACTCACCTAGTCGATAGGCACTTCTGCATTCCTCCTTTGAAATGTACAAGACTCCCAGCAGGGGCTCTTGTGAATTTCAAAGTTGGAACTCTGCGTGCAGCCTGAGCCAGAGGGAAATCCCACTGATTCTGGGCTTCATGCACTTTGAAATGCACAGGAGCCCAACGGCTCTTGTGCATTTCAAAGTGGAAGCGCTCGTGTGGAGCCCAGAGTCAGCGGGACTTCCCACTGGCTTCAAACTGCACGCAGTGTGCCAGGTTTGAAATGTAGAAGAGTCCCCAGCAGGGGCTCTTGTACATTTCAAAGCAGAAGTGCCCACATGGAACCTGGGGTCAGTGGGGGCTCCTCAGCTGACCCCCGGCTCTGCGCATAGCATTTCCACAGAACCTGGGATCAGCTGGGGACTCCTCAGTTAACTCCCGATTCCACGGAAATGCCTCATGGGGTCCGGGGTCAGTTAGCAAGTCCCCAGCTGACCGTGGGCTACATGTGCAGCGGTGTTTCAAAGGGGCATCGCTGCACAGCTGTTCCTGGGTTCTGTGTGGTGCTGCCCCTTTGAAATGCTGTTGTGGTGTTTCAAAGGGGCAGCTCTGCACTGAGTCCAGGATCAGCTGTGCAGCACTGTCTCTTTGAAGTACCCTTCCCCTGCTCCCTCTGCTGCCTCTATCTCATAGAGGCAGCGAAGTGGGGGGGAGGAGCGACTAGTCGACTCAACTATCCAATAAGCATTTGTTTATCGGATAGTCAGCTATTCCTTAACATCCTTAGTCTATAGTCTTTTACCTATGACTGATAAATGATTGATACTCCTGCTAACTTTGATAAATATTCCCTTGTTTTGAATAAGTCTGTGCTTCCTCCAAGTGCTCGAAGACATTAGTATTTATATTTTCTGGCTTGTCTTCACTGTGCTCCTTGCATAAAGCTATTCAGGAATCTTGCACAGAGAACAGGGCTCTGTTGTGTGTTTGCTCCTCACCCTTAGTTGCATCCTTACTGCTTTGCATAGCAGAAACTGACTGGATCTGTTGACAATTTGGCGAAAGATGCTGATTAATCAAAGCTACAAAACTTTTATTGGGTAAGCTTTGCCATAGAGGTTGACTGGCTGAATAGTTAGGTTACTAGCCCAGGCAGAGGTATTCAAGTCCCTTCTCTCCCTGATTGGGATGGAAAAACTCTGTTCTACACAGGAGAAGAGGAGACCCGACCTGGGTTTCCTACATCCTAGGTCAGTACCATTGCTGCTAGGCAATAGTGTGGTATGTTCATGTATTTTCATTCCAGGCTGCTTCTTGGGAGTGACTAGAATATATGCTGGTCTTGCTTACATGAAGCTAAAATCTGCCATTATATCTTTAACTTTAGGGTGAAGAAGGGACTGAGCACATTTCCTGAAGTGAAGCAAGATTTTTTTGCCTCATTTGGTCTGGTCTTGGTAAGGTGAAACTCTGCTTATAGTTACATTTTTTATTTATAAACACTGAATTATAGGATAATTATACTGTTGCACATATGGCTTTTATTATAAATAATAAAAATTTACTTTAAACACAAATGAAATAAGAACATTTGTCAGTAATTACAGTAATAGAAGATTTCTCTTTTTAAAATGTGTCATTGGTATGTTAAACTTGGCCACAGCCTGTGATAAGGAAAACATCTGCTATACTAAGGTGTATTCTTTATTAAATATATTTGTTAATGTAAAAGCTATTTTGGATTTCTGCAAATACATTAAATGGTAAGTAGCTAATTGTTTTAAAGACCAGAACAACTCCAGTTACCTGTCATAACTCAAGGTCACTCTTAAATTGGACTTAACTTGCTTCTCTGTAGCTGGGATCCTTCTGATATTCCAATCCTGTTTAGAAAACATTGGTACTGGACTAGTTAATGAGGTATTAAGTAAAAACTACTTGGAGTGAGAACACTCTAGGAACAGCCTTCTTCCAATAATTGACACTTATTTTAAAAATATGAATGCATAAAATTCTCTAGGCTTTGTACATACACCAAGCAGACCCTGAAGAATACAGCAGAGTAGCAGCCACATGGGCACATACTCAGACTTTGTTGTTCCACCATTGTTCTGTTTGTAATGATTCCATACCTGTGAATCCCTTCTTCTAACAAAATAAACTAAACATACTTCTCAGAAAGTAAAGAGCATGGGAAAAATATTCTGTTTTATACAGCTTGTTAAACCACCCTCATCACCACAGTATCTGAGCATCTACCAGTTTGACTGCAGCTTATGGGACACAAGAGAGTTGTGAATGGCAATGCTAATGTCTCCACACTATTCCACTCATTTGCTGGGCCTCACATTTTCCCTAGCAGAGACATGTTCTTGGTATGTGAAGGTGCCTTTTCCCATTGGCTACGTCTACACTGGCACCCTTTTCCGGAAATGCTTAAAACAGAACAGTTTTCTGTTATAAGTATTTCTGGAAAAAGAGCGTCTACATTGGCAGGATGTTTTTCCGGAAAAGCGTCCGTGGCCAATGTAGACGCGCTTTTCCGGAAAAAGGACTTTTGCCTGAGCGGGAGCAGCATAGTTTTTCCGGAAAAGCGTCCGTGGCCAATGTAGACGCGCTTTTCCGGAAAAAGGACTTTTGCCTGAGCGGGAGCAGCATAGTTTTTCCGGAAAAGCGTCCGTGGCCAATGTAGACGCGCTTTTCCGGAAAAAGGACTTTTGCCTGAGCGGGAGCAGCATAGTTTTTCCGGAAAAGTAGCTGATTTCTTACAGTAGATCGTTAGTGCTTTTCCGGAAATTCAAGAGGCCAGTGGAAACAGCTCGCAGCTTATTCTGGAAAAGTGGCTGCTTTTTCGGAATAAGTGGCCCAGTGTAGACACAGCCATTGCGTATTGGCTCCTTAGTATTCTTAGTAAGATTGATTATATAAACACTAATTGGTATTAATTGTCATGGTGGTTTAAACGAATCACTTCTAAATTAGGATTTCTAGTTGAATTTTTAAATTGGCCTTTTAAACATTTATATATTTATTCAAATTTAGAAAAAGACAGTTATTTATCTTGTTTGGACAATCTATTAAAACACAATAAAATCAATACAACAATATGAAAAGAGAAATACAGTGGAGCCCCATAATCACAATAGCTGAATTGCCATATAGCACAATTAAATTGCAAAGATTACCCACTTTTTCTTATATATCATCTCTTGGAGAATACTCGTTTCCTCAAACTCCACTGTAAAAACATGAATGTATACAGACAAACAGATTTTGACTATTTTGCACCATAAGTGGAATGCATTCTGAAAGTAACTTTCAAGTAACTAATCTTCTCCCTTATGTGTTGAGATGACGTGCCTCCTTAAATCTTACTGTCGTAGTTGAGGAGCAGAGAGAGGATCTCTGACAGGAATAGGTTAATTTTAATTTAATTCCACCTGGAAACCAACGAGCAGCCAGTGTGGCTCATGTAGTACTGATTGAATATGTAGTTGGACAGTCTGCTTAATTAGCCAACTCTGTGTTTTGTATCTTTTGAATGAATTTCCATTGTAGCTCCAAATTGAGCATTTTAGAATAATCCATCCTTGATGTACAAGGTAGGTGAGTGTGATCTTATATTGGACCAAATTCTGTTGGTGAGGGACAGAGATCTTCAAGTCTGGGAAACCTACTCAATGTCACAGCTAAATACAAGTTGGAAGAGGTTGTTTTGCATAGGTAATTAATACATATTTCAAGGGATCGTTTAAGGTGAAATGATGACAGGGATGAAAGACACAGCTTCATGAGCAAATACTTTTTGCATTTTTGTCTAATTTTCTGTTATTTGTAATAGCAAAAATGTACATCAGAAGCAGAAAGCCTGCTAAACGAGTAGATGAGCTATTGGATGATCACGATGCTAAAGGAGCATTCAAAGATAGCAAGTACACAGGGGAGAAATTAAATTAATTCTTTGCATTGGTCTTCATGGCTGAACATATGAGATTGATTCCCAAACCTAAGGCATTCTTTTCAGATGACAAATCTAAGGACTATCCTAGATTGAGGTGTCATTAGATGAGATTTTGGTACAAATTGATAAAACAGTAATAAATCATCAGGACCAGATGGCATTTACCCAACAGTTCTGAAGGAACTCAAATGTGAAATTAGAGTTCTTAACTGTAGTTTGTAACCTATCCTTTAATTTGGCTTCTATACCAAATGACTGGAGGATAGTTAATGAGAAGCCAATTTTTAGAAAGGGCTCCGGAGTTGATCCTAGTAATTACAGGCCAGTAAGTCTAACTTTAGTACTTGGCAAACTGGTTGAAACTATAGTAAAGAACAGAATGGTCATACACATAGATTAATGTAATATGTTGGTGAACAGTTAATTGTAAAGAGAAATCGTGCCTCATCAATCTACTTGAATTCTTTGAGGAGTCAACAAGCGTGAACAAGGGGAATCGAAAGGGTATAGTGTGTTTAGGTTGCCAGAAAGCCTTGATAAGGTCCCTCACCAAGACTCTTAAGTAAAATAAGTTTTCATTAAATAAGAGGGAATATCCTTTCATGAATTAGTAACTGGTTAAAAGATGGATAATGAAAGATAGGAATAAAAGGCCTGCTTTCATAAGGGAGAAATGTAATTAGTGGTTTTCCCCAGGGGGTCTGTGCTGGGACCAATGCTATTCAACATATTCAGAAATGATCTGAAGAATGAAGTAAATAGGTGGTAAAATTTGCGGATGATACAAAATTGCTCAAGATAGTTAAGTTCAAAGTAGACTGTGAAGAGCTTCAAAAGGCTCTCTTAAAACTGGGTGAGTGGGCAACAAAATATTGGAAAAATGTGTTGATAAATGCAAAATAATAGCTATTGGGAAATGTAATCTCAACTATACATATCAAATGATGGGGTCTAAATTAGCTGTTACCACTCAAGAAAGAGATTTTGTAGTCATTATGTATAGTTCTCTGAAAACATCCATACAATGTTCCACAGTAGTCAAAAAAGCAAACAGTGTGTTGGGAATCATTAAGAAAGGGAAACATCATAAGGCAGAAAATATCTTACTCACTTTTCATATTACACCCGCATCTTGATTGTTATAAGCAAATGTGGTTGCCTCATCTCTAAAAAGATATATTAGAATTGGAAAAGGTTCAGAAAAAGGCAACAAAAATGATTAGGGGCACAGAAATGCTGCTATAAAGGAAAGATTAATAAGACTGGGACTTTTCAGCTAGGAAAAGACAGCTAGGGGTGTATTTTACAGGTCCATAAACTCATGACCTGGTGTGGAGAAAGTAAATAAGGAAAAGTTATTTGCTCTTTTCCATAGCACAGGAAGGAGGGGTCACCAAATGAAGTTATTAGGCAGCAGGCTTAAAACAAACAAAAGATAGTATTTCCTTACACAGTGCACAATTACCTGTGGAACTCCTTGCTAGAAGATGTTAAGACTGTGACTATAAAAGGGTTCAAAAAAGAACTAAATAAATTTAGGTTAGGTCCATCAATGAGTATTAGGATGGTCAGGAATGATGTTTTTAACCTCTGTTTGTCAAGGCTGAGAATGGGCAACAGGGGATGGATCAGTTGATGATCAACTGTTCTGTTCATTTCCTCTGGGACATCTGGCATTAGCCATTGTTGGAAAACCGGATTCTGGGTTAGATGGATCTTTGGCCTGACCCATTATCACTGTTCTTATGTTCTTTACACTGAAAGGTGCTTGTCAGGAAATAAGTTGTAATCTAGTTTGTTCATGTTTGTAAACTAGGAAACCAAAATTGGTGGGAAGGTATCTCCAATGGATAGTACAGGTACGATCTTTGCCTTGCATCGGAGTTGCATTCTTCAACCCTCCATCATATTTCTCTTACCTGAACCGAGTTTGTCAGTTTGTTTTTATCCATGCCTGAATCTCCTCCAAACATTTGGAAAGGCAATCAATTCAGTACCAGCATCTGGGTGAGAGGAGATTGAAACACAAATAAGTGTCATTAACTTGCTCAAGATATAACCCACGTTTCATTACTCTCACTCCTCAGAATCATATAAATATTGCTCAAGTGAGAGAACAGGTGGAAGATTATAAACCACCATGTGATTGCTCTTGTGTTGGAAGCACAGTGGTCCAATACAGTCCTACCCTTCTGGGATTTGGTCAAGAGAAAAGAATGAATTCACTTTAGAGTAATGCCATCAGCTTCTGCTGAAGAATGCCTGTTTGTGGTAAATATTTCATAATTAATTGTATTGAAAGCATTTGAAATGTAGAGAAAACCAGCCTGGATACTTCATCTTCATCCATTGATTGCTCATGCAGCAATGCCTCTGGAATAACCCATGTCAATGCTTAAATTGACCGGGGGGAGGGGGGTCAAGAAAATGGGACATTAGATTCTGAGTGATACTGATTTCTCTGACTTTTGCAGGTTTTAAAAAAAGTTTAGGATA